GCGGGCGGGCCGGCGCGGCGCGGCGTGGCGCGGAAAGCGTTCCTTACAGCGCAGAGCCGCTTCCAGCGTCCTCGAAGGCCGCGCAGCCGGATGCCGCGCTCCGGCCGATCCGAATGACTGGGCGCAGACGTGTCGGCGCGAATCGCTCTCGGCGGACAGCCGCGCCGCCGCCGCCATCGCCCCCAGCCCTACTCCGCAGCGCCGCGCCGCGCCTTTTGTCTCGCGTGCCGCAAGGTTGGCAACTCCGTCGCGGCCTCGGAGGGCGGACACGGGGGCGACGGCGGAAGGCGGCCTGTGGGGATAGGCGGAAAACCCAGGTACATCGGAAGAAGAGAGAAAAGCGGCTGTAGTGTTGGGATGTGCTATAAGACGATTCGGAATCGTCGGTTTAGAAGCTGTGGTATGATAATTAAATTGGAATAGGAAACAATTCTGATAACGAAGACTTTTTGGCTAGGAAAGACATTTGATCAGGAAGTATAGTAAATGGAGATGAGTTTAGAGATGTTTCATTATACTAGAGATGGCAGTTTGTTAAAGTATGAAAACAAGCATTTGGAACACCACATGGTTTTGCGAAAAGTGTCAGCAGTACAGGAGTGTTTCTAGCGGCAACAGTAGCGTACAGATGTAATTAAAAGTAAACAAACAGAGACGGAGAGATTTGGGATGCCGTGAGACTGCAGGTTAAATAGTAGAGACGTTTTGTTCAGCGGGAAGCACCTTAGCTTGTATCACTTTTGAGTGTTTGCGCATTCGCACTTCCAGTTGCGCCAATCGCTTTGGCGTGCGCTTTCGAGTTGCTTGACTTTTCAGTCAATCAATCAATCAGCGATCAGTGATCAATCTTATTGTACATAGCGAAGGACAACCGTCAGTCTTGCTCTTCCATCTGACCACGTAGGTTTTGCTACGATCCTTTCGGCATCTAGGAGAGAAAGTGGTATTACTCGGGAACGAAATTGACGATTTTGAAATTAGCTCCAAGACTTCTTTTATCTTTGCCGATCTTCTGCATTTTGTACATCCGCATGATGTGACGGCTGCCCTTTCTTCCCGTCCGACGGAAGTCATAAGAAGGAATTTTTTCGTCTTCTAATCGATTTTGAACCCGCGAACTTGGGTGTAAAGAGACCGACGCCGCCAAACTCCATTGAAACCGCCAGTTGGCCTGCACGGCTGGTCGCGTTGGCCGCACGGCCCGCTGCCTTGGACCTTGGAGAGCCTTATTCACTCTCCCCCTTTCCACCGCCTTCGCGCCGACACACGCTCTGGGTGCGAGCGGGAAGGCCTGTGACCCCGTCACGTGTAAACAGGGGGCGGGACCGTGTGAGTACGGGTAATTGATTTTCAGTTTTTCGTTAGATCGGTGACGAAACATTTGGCGTGAAGGCTTGGTATTATTCAACATCCGTTCCTCGAAACTTCCGTAATTATATACACTTTATGCCGTGATATATGGTGAAAGAGTTGTTATGAAATAGCAGTCTGAAAATATGTTATGCAAGTTTTGTTGTGACTCATACATTTAGGAATCATTGCAATAATTTAATATGAACAGTAAATGTCCAATCACGTAGTGAATATAAAGAGTTTTTTTTTATTATTTCAGAAAATGTATAAATTACCAGCTTATTACGAGTGAAGGTAATTTTACACACCTCATAGAGTTTTATTTACATTTGCCTACTGAACATTTTCTGTTTATTATGCATCTTTGAGTATAAATACGAAATGTTGGCATAAAACATCAGGTGCAAGATAACTCGTGTTTGTAATAGTTTGTAAAATTTGACAGATTTACTCTAAGTAAACCTAAAGCATTTTTGATGGCAAGACACTTAACGATAATTTTAGATTTTTAAATTATCAGATAATTACATTTATTGAAAGTTAGATATAACTTGAGACAATGAGATATGCACTATCTCTACTTTATGATTCACCAAACAAAGAATAGGAAAGCCCATTGTTCATTGTATGCAGATGGTTTCCTTGGCTCTTAATTTGCTTCTGATGGACAAATTGCATGACTTCGCCTCGTATTACTTCGTAAAACCTCGGATTAACCACAACTCGAAAACAGAAGTTTCGTTGATTATTTAGAGTTACTTTCACTATACGATAAGCTTCTCTTTTACTCTCTGACAAAACTTTTCTGTCAAGTACATTCGACTTTGACCTATTCTTTATTCTAGCTTGGCCATTTTTATTATTTCCACTGCCATTTACTCCAGCGCGCTAGTGTTCTCGCACTTCATAGAGAAAAATTAATTTTGACATTCTGTAACGTATCGACCACATTTTTTACTGCAGCATTCGAATTACGGCCTTTGATACCGCTAGCCACCGCATGTCGTTTCATGTAATAAGATATAGCATACCCTGTCCATTTTAACACTCTAGCATTATATAAGCGACGGAACTCATATTTACCCTTTGACTCGTTTTCGATACTCGTTTCCCGATCGGGTCTGAGCGTATTGCTCGAACTCACTCCACTATCAGCCGTCCTTTCGTCATATAGTTTTTGCCGCCCCCGCATTCCCGGGTCTGGAAACCCATCGTCGGCAGCCAATAAGGGCGATATTAGCTGCGACGCGTTTTCATATAAAAGCGTTTTACTCCTGAGCCAACTGACGTGGCCCCATGATTTATCGACGTGCCATGCAGCCTGGGTCGCTCGCGCCCCACACTGGGCTGACTCATTCGCCATTTCTCTCTTCCAACTCACAACGCGCCATCCCGTCTCGCCCCGCTCCCACATCTCCCCCGTCCCACCACTATCC